CACTATGAACCACGCTGGTTACTTTAACACATCACCGGTTAGTCATGCACACCACTACGCTGGATGCAGGTATTAATAATTGGCGAGAAAACAGCGCGCTCATTCATCGGTAAAGCTTTACACTGCGAATGCTCCGCTCAAATGGTAGCTCAAGGTTAATTGCCAGACAGGTTTTTTTGAAGCGATTAATTCATATATTCAACCTGAAGTGAAGCAGAAGCTATGGTATTCGTTTCACTGGATCGAGTGATCTCATTTAATTTGGAAAAGTGCGTGGTTGAAAAAGGCATGGCAAAATTAATGCTACGCGTATATTCATAATATCTAATGGGTTTTTGAAATCCCTTGTCAGAAAAAAATATTACTTTTTTTTTAACTTTAGTGTAATACCAATTGATATTTATTAGCACTTCTTTTTCTTATTATATCCTTGCACTGGGGAATTCCTCCCAACGCTAGAAAAGGGGTTACATGTACATACTGTACATACAATAATGTACTTCGTATCGAGGAAACTCCATACCACAAATTATTTTGTAAAGTGTTTTTCAATTTGTAATGGCATTCATGAGAAGTTAAAAAAATGAGGAGATCAGCAGATCCGAGGAAAAGGTGCATGCCTGAATAAAGTTGTTGAGACTGTACCATCTATCCAGCCAGGCATTGTTGTTCATTCTTTTTGTTTGTCCTGTTACGCGATTCCCTTTTCTATAATTTTACAATCTTTAGACAAAGAGTTGACTCGAGAGGGTTAAACCTGCAACCTCCGGGACACTGCCTTTTTTTATTTGGTTCATTCCTTCATCCCAAATTTTAAAAGTATTTTAAGGTTTTAAGGGGAGGGGCAATAGGGTTGAGGATACACATGTGTAGGATCCACAAGGCACTAAGTCTCCAAATCAAATACGTCTAAGTCACTGGTAAACATGGACCATGGATTCAAAAAGATTTTCAAACGTGCACTTGGGCAATAAGAGACGGACACATTCCCAGTGACACTTGGGAGATTAGTGAACTACACAGTCCAACCTCAACCAGCATGAGCAGACAAACGTCATGACCTGAGGGGCAAGATTCCGTCTGATTGACATTTCCCTTTCATGTACATCCTCACGAACTGATCAAGATGAAGGACTTATAAAATACCCTTCCTTGTGCTTGGTTTTGTCCAATTTATCCAGCCCTAGTCCGATTGTCACCACCCAAGCAAAAAGAGCTGAGTGAAACCTGGCATGTACTGCAATCAGTCTTCGTCTGTTCATCAGTACAGAACTGTCACGAGGGGTATGAGTGATTATTCTTCCACAAAAAATCACCACAAATCTATGACTTTCCCCCCAAAAAAGGCAGACGGTCAAGCATTTGCCACCAGTTATTTGAACAAGAGGAACACAAAAAGAAAATGTATTTGATTAACCAGTGATTTGTGTGTGTGCGTGTGTAATTTGTGAAATTATGTTAATTATATTTCAATTTACGGTACATGTACATTAAGTTTTATGGTTATTTTCTTGGAATGCTCATTTGAAATTTGTGAAATATACTATTATTATTATTAAATGATAATTAATTAATAAATTGTTATCATTAATAATAATTAAACAGGCAACTTTTTATATCTCAGTTCTGAAAGTTGTAAAAAAGTAAAACATTTGTTACATATTTGCACCCTCTACTTTGGAACTACATGTACATGTACCGTAGATTTGCTAACATAATTTACAAAACTACATTTGACCAATATAATCCCCTGGCATATATGTACTGGTAGATCAGACTTTGAATATTTCTTCACATATTTTCCCACTGAATTATTCTCTGATTTTGACTGAGTGGTTGACATTTGCAATTTTCGAAATTTAGATAATCTATCCATTGAGGACCGACCAACCTGCAAATGCTAAGAATCTTAACAGTTCCGAGTGTTAACCAAGCCCCTGGATCCTTCCTTCCTGCCTTGCTCTTTCCTTCAGAGACTCATGCATTAGCCATGAATGTTGTGATTTATTGTAGTCTCCCTTATGTCTGTCACGTACACTAGGGGTGCAGGGGAAGGCTAGCACTGCATACAGTATTGCGATATGAAGGCAGTCCAGTGTACTTTCAACTTCATTTGTGACTTTTTGATTTCGCGGTTCAGTGCATCTGGGTTAATTGCTATTTTATGCGCATTGATTTGCATGGGATTACGGAAGACATTGCACTCCATAATCCTTCAGCATTCCCTGATTCCAACACTATTTGTGATGTGTTGGACTCAAATATCTCAAATATATTGTAGCATCCAGCTCAGGTCGAGTATTCCAGTTTGTGTCCGTGGGCAAGACGTTTTATCACAAGAACTTTTTCCCCTAGGAGTAATGTAAGGATTGCTTTTAGGAAAGGGGACTGTACCGGTACTGGTATGTCCATTAAGAAGCTAAAGAGATCTAACTGCGCATGCACATTCTGCCGGCCTTAGCTACATGTAATTCACCTTTCTTTTGCCTTTTAACCCTAACCTTCCCAATCCTCAAAACTCCTCTTTGCAAAATGGATGCAAAATGGAGGATTTTGCAGGATTGAGGCTATACATGTATGGCCAAATTGTATGGCTAATTTTGAAGGATGCACTGTGTCAAGGTTTTTGGCCAGACCTTGTGTTGTTTATGCTCAGCCATGCATAAATTTAGACCTAAATTATATTTGAAACCCTCCACGATGTCACTGTCTCTGCCTCAACATATTGACAGTTTGCAGGATTGAGGCAGTGGTCACCCCTCCGAGGACCACATTCAAGAAATAACAGAGGACTTTGCAGGATTGAGGCTGTATGCAATTATTACATGGAGGCAGTTGGAGGATTTTACAGGACTGAGGTTACATCCTAGCAAAAATGCCTAGGGAGTTACGGTTAATGAAGGTACGTACATGTATTTTGATAATTGGAATGAGCAGGATGGACTTTGTATTTCCACGGAAGCCCACCACTCTTGATTCCACCATGTCTCCCTTATTTTAAACCTCAAGGCATTTCCAGGTCCTAATTGGACTTGACCTGCCATTCTGATGCCTATCATAACCATATCACGCAGTATAGTAAGGCAAACACTGCATAATACTGCCAGCAGCGGACCAGACTGGGACGCAGATGGGATATGAGAAGGCGTGATAGTGGGCTTGTTAACACCCAAGTCACAACAAGATTCCCTAGAAGACTCTTGAGATGAACAGTTTTTCCCCAAGGGCTCATCCGGGTCAGTTCTGGATTTCCATTTCTTGTTTCATAGAGTCTGACATTTGGAATTTACAAGCTAGTTACTACTTAAGTACGCATGTTCTCGCGCTTTTGAAGATACTGTTACATACATGTACATGTACCTATGTACTCCGTTATGTACTCCGTTAAGTACATGTAGCGGTACATACTACGGTACATGTTTCATTGTGCTTGCTGTAAACTGCTTTTGTAAACAATGCTCAGGTACATGTTACAAAATAACATTTACCAATCTCTTGTACAAGAACAGCACGTTCCCATTCCCAAGTAAGTACATGTACATTGTACATGTACAAGAGAATGGGCAGCACTGCAGAGATGCAACAACCTCCGGCATTTCATGCTGCCTTTTGATCAAACTTTCCAGTGGACATCTCTTCGAGTGTGAAAAATAAAATACTGTTATGCATGTATGTATGTATTGTAAAAATGTAGTAGTTAATTTGAATGATGAAAGGATTGAAGTAGACTCCAAGTTCTGCTGTTTGTGTGGAAAAGCCAAAGATAGGCCCTAAACACATTTAATATATTTGTTAATATTGGATTTTCTGAAAGATTTTAAGGATTCTTAGTTTACATGTAAAACTCATCAAGGAGCTGGGGGCCTTTAAGATTTGCATATCAACAGTACACGTAAGTAGACTGCGATGATCAAACACATAAATGTATTAAACACGCACTTAAAACAAACCCATTTATATGCAACTGACACGATCAAGTAATAACATGCATCTTACAAATAAACACACCACTTAAAACTCCACCAGACTGTCTCGTGTATAAAGGGTCTTCTTAATCAAAAGGGGTCCCCATCAAATTCTGAAAAAAGTCATTCCACATAAGAAACTTTGATAGATGTCATTAAAACACCCACGCAAAAAAACAACCCTGCGTCTCCAGGAGACTGGTCTAATGGCTGTGAGCCATTTTCATGAAGCCTCGGTCACGTTCAAGTGGGACAAGATCGGCCGAGTCAAAAACTAGAGCTTATTTGGAGTACAGGACCTGCGCTGGTTACATGTTTACTGTCTTAAGTTTCGCGGCCGGCTGAAATCCAAACCAGGTCCAAGGAAGCAGCCGGAATGATAAGGTTCTTGAGTCTAACGTGGCAATTCAGATGGGTGAAAAGGCAACAGAGATATGTGCATTCCTGCGTTCTGGAGTGATGTTAGGTTGGATGGGCATTTGGATGCAGGATAAAAGTGGACCTTTCTTGTTTATTTAACATTTGTACTGGCTTTTGCCAGAGGGGTGTCTGTGTGTATTTCTGACACCATGTAAGCTTTTTACAATAAGCAACTTTGTTATTGAAGTTGTTAGCAAGTGGAATGTTCTGTTTTTCAATTCAAGGCAAATCTGAATGTCTGATTTTCTGACTAAAACCCTGATTTGCACTATTTTTCCAGCTCTTGTTTAAAATGTTTTTCTTAAGTTTTGAAAATTCTCTTGTTTAAAGATGTTTTTCTTAAGTTTTTTTTAATTCTTTAGGTAGAAGTACACCTGTACAGTTTCTTAAATATATGTCTTACTCTTTTCACTCGTTATCTACTTAAGTGGATGTTGTGCTAGTACAATTGTTCAATTACTTTGGAATCGTAAGAAATTCTTTGTTGTCTATTAACCATTTACTCCACTCTGGAAGTGAAAGGCACTTACTGCAGTTGATACATCCTGTGTGTGGCTAAGGGCAAGGGGAAAATTTAGGATGGGTTTCTATAGTTTTACAGAAATAATCACTCACCTGCAAAGTTGTTATTGCACACGCAGGTATAGCCGGCCTCCTTCTGAATGCACTGACCATTCCTACCACAAGGGTTGGAGTAGCAGTAGTTGATCTCCGTTGTGCAATAGTTGCCTGTGAAACCTGGTGGGCAGTCACACTTGTACAGAGTCTCCGGGTGGATGGAACGGAAGATGACGGTCTGAGTGGCGATGAAACCCGACGAGCTCCAGAAGGACAGCGGGGAGAGACACTGGGCGTAGTCCTGCCCGCTGCAGATTTCATACAGGCAGAGGTTGTCTCCGAACGGCAGCACCTTGGCCGTGGAGACTTCAGAGAGGGTGGACCGCATCAGGTAGACCCGCTCCTGGAGGTACTGGGAGGTGAAGAAGGTACCGTCTTGGTGCTGGGCGGCAAAGGAGACGTTGAGGATGGGCGGATCCGTCACGTCATGGTCCTTGACGCTGAAGACGTAGATCAAGTTGCGCTGGGTGGGGATGATGTTGGACAGGGCGTCAACGAAGCGGTTGATCTTAGGGGATAGGAACTCCTGGGAGTTCATGTTCTCCAGTTGGACTGTGATGCTGCTGAAGAGGAGGTCGTTGGTGACCATGGTGAGACGGAAGGTACACTGTTTTGTCACAGCATTCAGGCCATCTACAACAATCAAACCGAAACAATACCAAAAAAATACATTAATATTCTGGACAGATGTTTCTGGAATACTCATGTGCTAGTAGAGGACAAGCAAATTCTTGGGTTACTTCTTTAAAAACTGAACCGTTAAAGGGATTATTGTAGAACGTTTTCCATATTTTCAAAGATCATACATGTACAAAAGATTGAAAAATACCTTTTTTTTTCAAAAATAAGAAAAACGGAGAAATACTTTCAACTGGAAGTTTTGAGGAGCTATGGACAAGTTTGTCAAACTTTGTCAACATTTTATTGAATTTCTGTGGTTCCATTACTATCATCAAGGATGTAGAATACTAATTAATATGAAACAAAAATCATTCCAAAAGACAAATTTGTGGCCTTTATTACACTCTAAGTTAGTCAAAATATTGACTGGTTTTCCTACATGTAGTTATTGAAAATTGACCAGGAATTTAATTAAACATGCAAAGTTTCATACTTTGACTACAGTAGAAAAAGTAGTTGGGTTGGACTCCAATTTCAGTTATTTGCATAACTATTTTTCCAAAGTCAACAATACTGACTGGAAAAATCAGATTGACTAATTTTCAGTTGCATCCAGCTGACCCTGAATGGCTAGTCAAATTTAACTGGTTTCTAGTCAAATCTGACTAATACATTTTTAGAGTGCATACCAATAGCTGTTATACAATGGTTGTACAAGTACAGATTTTGAGAATGGCAAAATGTCTTTGCGGCTCTTGCGTATTTCAACACAGCACCTGGGTCACTTTTTTGACAGTCTATTTGTTAAACACCCTCAGCTAGCTGCACAATGTAGAGTTGTTGTCCCCCATGCAGCGAGGGGTCGAAGGACTGGAATAACACTGGTGTGACCTGACAAGAACTGAAGTCTAGAAAACTGCAATTTCTTCACCTAATTCATCATCTGTAGCTAATGGCCGCTGCACCACAGCATCATCGCACATGGTAATAAGGCTCTGAACATTACACTGTAGTGTAGCTTTTTTTAAAGGAGGGAATTAATACCGGTACATACAACATGCACCCAGTTTTGTTTATTGTTCAGCAATATCTGACTGAATGTTAGTCTTTTAAAGTTTTATATAATTAAACTCAACTGTGTCACAAAAACGAGAAATTGTTTTGGGAAAATTGGAACATGTGTTCCATTATCTTCCATTCATACAATAATCCTGAGGCAGTTTACCCATTCCTATTCATTCTTATCACACTCCGCCATTATTGCATGCAGAGCCTCGATCTGGCAACTTTACACAATAAAAATTGCCGGTTCAGTGATCTGAACCCCGACTCGGGAATCACTGAACCGGCAATATTTATTGTGTAAATTGCCAGATCGAGGCTCTGCATGTCCATGGCAGAAGTGTGAAAAGAGCGAATTGGTTAAGAGCCTGTCACATGGGTGGTTTTAAATGGTTGATAAAACACCGACTGATTCTGAATTCTGCACCACATAGGGCCTACATGTACATGTATTGAAGGAGAATTTTAGCACTATGTGCATGAGGCACATACCATAGACATGGCCAGATGGGTGTTTCACAAAAAAAACATGAAGCAACTTGTTGAACACAATCATTGGAAATTTGTGAATGTTTGAGTTGTTTTGACTTTTAGACTGAACGGTACCGTATTTATAAATGGGAATAAATATGTGCTTAACAGGCTTGGGGTCTAGCCATTATCGGTGACCAGGTCCCTAGCCGGTTTTAAACGTACTTGCTTAGAACTGGCCAAACACATTTTATTCCCTCATTGTAAAATTAATGTCTCAGGGTTATTCAACTCAAACCTTAGTGGTGACTTTCCACATGTGACTCACTTGTTTTTGCAAATAGGTCAGACGTGTATATGTACATCCACGTGCAGGCTACTACTTCATTTTCATTTTTACTGTCTGTATCATGGTAACTTCAAATTGTCTTTTGAAAAACACCATGTTCTTGCACTGCATGCATTTATTCACAGAGTCTACTCTCCATAATTGCTACTGATCATTTTACGACCTGTTGATGTGGATAGCCCAGAATTCATTGCAAGCCTTGAACTCCGATGGCACTTGTATTTTCTCTCCTGCTGATCTAACAGAGCGACATTTCAGCTCACACTGTACATACAAGCGCATAAAATGCCAACACTTCTACAGTCGTAAATCAGTCATAATCAGCAACCCCAGAAGCTGTTAGTTGATGCTGCACAGAAGACACACCAGATATTATTCATACACTTTGTCGGTACATATGGGTACAGTACTACCGTGTACTGTAACCAGCAGCTCTGAAACGAGTTGGCTCCTTTTTTTTTTACTAGTACATGAATTTGTTTTTAATAATCACATTTATTTATTATTATTGGGGGGGGGGGCCTGAATTAGCTACCGGTATCTTACTAGAAGAGAAGCCTTCATTTGTAAATGTGTGATTTGATTGCTTTATGGCAGAGATTAAATTAAACCGATAGCCTACAAATGTTTTTTCTTTTATTGAAACTATACATGTACCGGTAAATACCGGTAGGCCTACCGGTACATGCCGGTACTACAATGCACACATCCTTCTATCAACGAAGAATTCCTTTAAAAATGCAAAACGGGAGAGGCGGCTCTTTTTTTTTGCCTAAATGGGCACCTGCATCGGAGGCTCTGGGGCCCTTCTGCATAATTCCATATCCAATTTGTGAAATCTCGCCCTGGGTCAATTTTTATGCACCATTTAAGATCCCTATCTGCCAATGCAGCAAACCCGATAGCAATCACGCAAAATGCGCTGCCCCAAAAAAGAAGATATGTTCCCTTCATGTTTATGGCAGCTTTCTCCCCTTAAATGAGACTAGTACATGCAGCCACACAGCTAGTACAATTGATCCCGGGAAAGCCTTATGGGGATACAGGACGTTTTCTGAGTGACTGCGTGGCACTGTATTATTGCCAAGCGTGCATTTTGGCTCAGGGCGCCCATAACCGGTACACAATGCGCAGGCACGCAAGGGCTCGGTACCGTACAATACGTAGCGTACCGGCACCGACTTTTAATAACAATCCCTGCACCTGGTGGCAAAAGGTGTTGGGGTCAGGTGATCTGGCCGTGAAATGTGCCCGCTTCCAGCCAGATCGCAAGTCAGAATTGGCAAGAGGATGACATCATTTTGGGATATTGGTTTTGGGCAAAGTTTCGGGTGGCAGTAGAACACGGTAATAAATGAAGCCAATTTTGGGAAAAGCATGCGTCCAAAACTCATTACGGGAAGCGTTCAAATATGCATGCAGACCCTGATCCTCCGTGTGCAAACATACACCATTGATGTGCACACAGTTTTTCGCTCAAAGCCAGTGTATACTTCTGACATACTGTGTGTCATAACCAAACACTACAGTATGTACATTTTTAGCAAGAATATTTAATTACCAGTATATTCCCTTTAATCATATTCCTATTTACATGTAATTATATTCCCTATAATTAAAATAAATTCAATCACAAGGTGATCATGCTACATGTAAGTCAATTATTTCAAAAATTTCCAGTTCCTTTGAAATGCTGATTATATTTATATTTAAAAAGTGACAAATATATGTTGAAAACATCAATAGATGTATGTTTTCCATAGAAACCCCAAAACAAGAATGCAGTTCCTTTTATTACAAAGTTATTATTTGGATTAACAGGGAATAGAGTAAATTTTTTTTTTATTTAAATGATGAATGCAGGGACATGTTCTAAGTGAATCATCTGATGACGATAATAAATATCAAACTCTGTCAAATGCAAAAAAAAGCTCATGTTGTCTGGTTTCAACCACATCTGATTATTCCAAGTTTGAATAGGCCCACTCCAAACTACCTGATTCATTCACAATTTTGATATATGCTATAAGCCAAAAAACACTATACATACATGTACAGTAAAGGTCAAGTACATGTACATGTCTAATCCTATATCTCTTTTGTTCAACTTACAAATTGCTCTGTCTAATTGCCCTTGCTTGCCTATTATACCGTTCCACGCATGAAAAACAGTGATAAAAGAATTCCTTGACCGCCATTATTCAAAATGGCCCGAGGCGCAACCACTTGCGCATCACGCATCACTAGATACAAACGTCCATGTATTGACCGGACTGGACGTTAAGCGGTCCCACAGGGCACTGGGGACTGCTTTCAATTTGCGCACAGCGAAAAATCGGACAGGGTTTCCTTGTGTGCTGTGACCATATTCGGAACGTAAAGAAGTACAAAGAAAAAGTGAGTGACGGTCGGAATAGGAGGTGGGGCTGACGAGGTGATGACTGATTCTATCACTGAATCTCAAGAGAGAGAAATATGAGGATGCTTCTCGGTATTATCACAGAGCTATGGATGGCCTACATATGAAGAATCGCTGCCCTATTTGATATGGCAGAAAGTACAGTGCACATGCAGACATTTCATTATTCACACCATGCTTGCCACTATCGCTGAGTGTAATTCGAGAAAAGTGTTGACACATTGTGGTTAATTTTAGATATGTTGCAAATAAGGAGAGTTATAAGACGAGTTACGCTTTAAGAACGGATGAACAATTTAAATTGATCAAAATCATTAACCAAAAAGCTCATATTCATTTATCAAGTACAAAACAGTACAAAACTAGTTCAACAACGTGAGGCTCACCAAAACGTATTACTCCCAAAAAAACCTACCCCCCCCCAAAAAAAAATCCCACCAAAATCAAGCCTAACATAATTCTTTTTCACGAAAAAAAAATTATATTTTCTGAGTATTTCAGGCAAATAGCAAAGAAAGGGATGTGCATCTAAAGAACACAGCTAAAAAAATTGTCAAAAATACATATACTGCAATTTGAATTTTGAAAATAAATTTTTCAGAAAAAATAAAAATAGAAAGCAAAACAAAATAGATACACGTATTGAGGTGACAAGATGAAAAATGCATAAGCCTCAGGGTTCAAGCGCAAAGCCTGCAATTGTGACATATTGTAATTTATGAAAAACACAT